AGCAAACATTTTTCAATTGCCCTAGAGCATCAATGCCATCCTTAAAATACTCTCAGAGAGTTGCAAATGAAACATCTTCAAGTCGAAATAGGAGAGTGGGAGATCAGGGTAGGATGTGTTTGAAAAACAATAAAACATCATTTTTCCATTGTCTCTTTAAACACAATATTCCTCCAATTGCCGTCAGAGGAGACCTCCCTCGAGTTCCCTGAAACGCCTGCCTTTGCCCTGCTTGAACACAGAGAAGATATTGCCCCACGCTTCCCCACGGACCCCAGAGCGGAGTGAAGCCATCCATCCATCACGCCAGATTGAGGTGGGGGCCCAACGGCAGCTCTGGGACGACGCCACAGCCCTGCCGCTGCGCCCTCGCCTTCCCGCACCTGCGACTCTGGTCTCAGCAAAGGTAGAGGATGCGGGCACGTAACCGCAGGGCGCGCTGTCAGGGAAAATCCAACCCCGGGGGTCAGAGATACCCCAGTAGGTCCCTCCGGGTTTGATTGTCTTATGAAGAGGGGGAAGAAAGTGACCCTGGGAATGCTTCCTGGTCGTGTCTGCTTTGGGGGATCATCTTGGCGTGTCCCCTGGGACGGAGGTTCTAGAGGGAGCGTGTAGCGTTGACCGCTCGGGTACCGCTCGGGGTGGGATGCAGACCCACGGATGCTCAGAGGGGTTGACGCGGAGGGCGTGTGGCCGAGGACTGTGAGCGGGGCTGTGGGCAGGACGGAAGGAAACAGCCAGGGACCGGGCGGCACCAGGCACCGGCCCCGCTGGGAGCTGCTTCCACCTCCAGGCACGGGGCGGGGGTTGAGTTACTGGAGCCCAGAAAGCAACTCCCCAACAATGGCCAGAGCCGAGAGCACAGAGGACCACGGCCCGGGCAGACACCGTCAGGTGAGCCAGGTGTGCCGGGGCTGCACAGTGTCCCAGGGCTGCCCTAACCAAGTGCCAATAACCACAGACGCCGATTCTCTCCCCCAGCTCTGCAGGCTGAAGGTCCAGAGCACCAAGGTGCCGGCGGCGCCTCGCGCCCTCTGAAAGCTCCAGGTGAGGACGCACCCTGCCTGTCTCCTGGCTTCTGCGGGCGGCTGGCCACCCTTCCTTTCCTTGGCATGCGGTCCCCGCCACCGACCTCGTATTGCTTTCTTCTCGAGTCCCCTCCATGCCCAAATCTGTGTCCTTGTCCGGACACCAGCCATGGCATCAAGGGCCCACCCTAATCCGGTGTGACTTCATCTCAACGTGGTCACATCAGCAAAGGTCTTGCTTCTAGATACGGCCATGCTCCCAGGCACCAGGAGACAGGACGTCAACATACTCTCTTGGGGACATAATTTAACCTATTTCCTCCAATTACCTGGACGCCTCCCAGTGGCTAAAGCCCTCCCGAAGCCAGAGTGCAAGGGAGTCTGGGGGCCACGGTCCACGCAGGTCCAGGGCAGAGCAGGGAAGGATCTGGAAGGGCAGGCCCAGCTCGGCAGAGAGGGTCCTGGCTGCCAGCTCTCTGCCGACAGTCCTTTCCTGCCGCGTACCTCGCCCCCCGCGGGCTCCCGGGATCTCTCAAACCCTAATGAATCTCCATGACACCCCAGAGAGGTGAGAATTAAGATCATCATTTTTGCAGACTCCGAGAACAAGTAGCAATCTCTCCTTTAAACAGCCCTACTGATTGCCACTTTATTTTTAATTTGATTTTATGCAGAGACAGGGAACATGTTCGAGGAATGTTGAAAGCTCCGTAGAAGAAAAAAAAAGCTCCCAAGTTACCACCACGTTTCAGGGGTCGAGGAAAATGATTTCGCATTAAGTTTGCAAAGGGTGCAAAATGACAATCATTGGAAACTTTTTGAAATTCCGGGTGAATTTCACCACCTCCCTGGAAACTCAATCCGGGGAAAAAATACATCATTCCTTGGGCAAAGAACTTCTTCCCACACCTGCCCAAATTAGAAGAGAAATATCCAGAAATACCCTAAGTCTGAGCTGCTGGCTTTGAAAAGGGAGGTCAAATACCCCCTTCTAGGAATTGTCCCCTATGACCCGTTGGCAGGCCTCAGGCCATGCAGGACACAGCTCGGACCGCACCTGCAGGGCATCACTTTACTCTACAGGTGACTCGACTCTGGCATATGTCCGGTGGCTTGTCTGTGGTTCACAGACTTCGTTATCTTAAAACATCAAGCGTTTAGAGAAAGCTTCATTTCTTTAACCAATCACAAATCAAAGAATCTTCCAACCCACCTACAACCTACGATGCCCCCCTTGGAGATGTCCTGTTTCCATGGCAGCCTGGAGTGGGGAGGGGCCCACGGTGGCCTGGGCATCAGTGTTTTTCCAGTGAAATAGCGCCGGGGGCGGCAGCGCCATGCAGGTGGCTTTTGCCTCAATGGGTCACGTTGTGGGAGAGTCCGGAGCTCTTTTCCCTGCTCCTCCCATCTCACTCCCAACCAGGCTGCAGAGGATTCGTCTCATTCGTTGCTTTCTCCCTGGGTTTAGGTAGGGGCTGGGGAAGTCCTCATTTTAAAGGCAAGACATTCCCCAAGGAAGCAAATTTCCCACCCGGTAACCCCCTATTTTACCTTGCTGAAGTCTGTTTTCTTTCACGTGAAAACAACTGGGGAAATTTACTTAATTGTTTTGGACCTAACCCGCTGTCTCCCTGGCTGCTAGCAGACAACATAGGACTTGCCTCTTCTCTTGTTCCAGGAGGTGGCCTGACCTCCCTTCTCATGGCCAGCAGCTCAGACTTAGGGTATTTCTGGGTACTTCTCTTCTAATTTGGGCAGAAGTGGGAAGAAGTGGTTTATATATTGTATACCATTTCTTGTCCAAGTCAAGCTACAGTTTTATTTGCTGGCTATTTCCAATAAAAGTTTCTCTTTTTTTTTGGCTGGTTATTAATATATTAAAGTTTATGCTTTTTTTGGCTGGTTATTAATATATTAAAGTTTATGCTTCATAAAAACTCCTTACATAATAGGAGAATAGAAGTTCATCCAAACTGTCTCATGTGTTGTCTAATTTCCGTGCTGCTTTGCAGAGTTGAGGTCAGGTCCATATTCCAGGGGATGCAAAGTGGTGACAGCACACGGCCACCTAAATCCAGCTTTCAGAGCACTGAGCCCTACGCTGGGGCTGCAGAGATGTTTGTCTGTTTGAGTTCACTAGCATTTACTTGCAAACAAAAGGGTTCTGGGTCCTGACATCTGTAGTCATTTCATTTTACCTTAAAGGCATTATAAAAATGCAAAAACCATAAAAATAATAATAATATGTTACTTCAAGAAGGACTCTCATGTTTCCTTGAACATGGGCCGCCATAACATCTCATATCCTCACGAAGGCTTTACCTTTTCAAAGTGTTTGAAACAGGTGGGCTAGGAACTGGGCACTCACCCCTTAGAACTCATGTCGCGTGTGCTGTAGGACACAGGTCTGCAAACCTTCTCTCTAAAGGGGCAGATGGCAAATATTTTTTAGGGTTTCCGAGCCAAGAGGCAAAACCGAGCCTATGCACACAGCAGCTCGACAGAACCCTACAAAACATAGACATTTAACAGCGTTCGAACCGTTCTTCGCCGGCATGGCACACAAAACCAGGCAGCAGACAGGATGTGGCCCCCGGGCTGTGGTTTGCTGAGCTCTGTTCCAGGACATGGAAAGTCAAAAGGAATCATCCTCCAACCTCAAAGACTTTGCAGATCCTGCCGGCGGCTGATCCCTTCCGGGGGGGACATCTGTTGTTTTCGTGTGTCCAGCGTCTGTTCGCCCTCTTTGTGCGGGAGCCAGGTTTCCCCCAACGTGCCACGCGCCTCGGCTCAGCCTCGATCCTCGCCTGCCCCAGGCTGGCTCCATGGACTGGCAGGTCAGAGCGTTCTAAGTCATATGTGCATCAACTCGGCGGCAAAGAAGCCTGCTTTCCCCAAAGCCGCACAGAAATGAGTTTTGGAATATCCACGCTCCGTCTGCGGGGGAGAATCCTGGCAAAGACAGGTGGAGCCACACAGGGAAATGTCCTTTATGTGCCTCTGAAGCCCCGTCCTCTTAGCATCCTGTAGAGGGGCCGGTCACACCGTGCACAAGCACAGGAGGGACCCAGGGGACAGTCCTGGGGCGTGGGAGACTGCCGGTGAGGGGCCGAGGGGCAGACGTCCAGTCCTGGCCTCTCACTGTCCAGCTCCACAGGGGCGGTGGCTCTGGACACACCGTAGTGTTTGCTCTAACGGTTACGTCCCAGTTGTGTGGATGCCGCGGGTTCGCCTGATCCCACAGGGAGGCAGAGACGGTGGCATCCGCCCTGCTCTCCCTCTGCCCCCGGGTCTCCCAGCCCAGTTGCAATTTGATGGGGCCGTGGAGCTCCTTCCGGCCAGCAGTGTGTGCATGGAAGTGTCCCATGTCCCTTGTAGGCCACTGCTTGGAAGAGCTTGCGTGTGAGACCCTCCAACTGTCCGTTCTTCTGCCTGGTGGCAGAGAAGACCACGTGCTCTTGAAGCTACAGCTACAGAATGATCATTGAAGCTACAGCTACAGAATGATCACACGCCCATCAGTCCGGGCCCCTGAGAGGCTGCACGGAGCAGAGCCCCCTACCAATAAAGCAAAAATGACTTGTGTCTCGCTCTGGGCACCTGAGATTTGCGGGTTGCTTGTCGCCACGGCATAGCCGAGCTCATCGAGACTGGCACACACAGTGGTCTACAGATTCCTTATTTTTTTTTTTAAAAAAAAGGACCAGAAGAAACAACTGGAATAGACTTAAGGAAGTAAATAACAACGCATTTGGCATGGGGCTTCGGTAAAAACATCATGAGGGGGTTGCGAATAACTAAGGTCGAGAACGGCCGGGCTGATGATCCCGCAGCCACTTCCAGGGGAAGATGGGAAACCTGAGAGTAAGCGCCCCACAAAACAGCTGTGGTGAACACCCCGAGAAAGACGGGCACGGCCCGGGAGGCGACGGGACACAGACCCAGGAGCAACCGCGGCGACCCAAGTCTTACCGCGGCCAAGGGCACGATGCCCACCAGGTCCTTCTGGCTGACGAAGATCTCCGACACGGCGATGTCCGTGGTCCCCTTCCTCGGGTACTCCACCTGCCAGGCGATGGGCTGCGTCCCCGAGAGGCTGCTGAAGCTGGCGATCTCGAAGTTCATCTGCACCACCTCGTTGAAGGGACCGCTGCTGCTCCTGGAAGACAGCAGGGGAAAGGCTCTCAGCGGCTTTGTCCTAGCGACTCTCCTCTCGCTTTCAACCGCACCCAGGACAAGGGCAAAGAGGACGTCTTGCAGGGAGGGAGAGTTCCGGGGCTTTCTGAGGCACCTGGGATGTGGAAACACCTGCAAGCCAGGGGCCGGGCATTGGAGAGAGAAGGACTCACAGGCGAGGGGTCTGCACAGAGCGTTTAAGAGCGTTAATCTGCGTGAGCACTGCTGAGCTGGTTTCTGCCTGCTTTTCAGACAGTGAGTTAATCCGGTCTTGCCCCCTACCTGCAGCGTGCACCTGCGTGACCTTGCCACTAACTGCCCCCCACCTTCCAAGTTCAAAAGCAAGTGGCAAAATAAAAAAATAAATACAATGCCCCCCCTTTATTTTCCAAACCGCACCCGCAGGCTCCCGTGCCGCTAGAAGCAGGACTGAAGCAGAGTTTCTGCCGGTCGGACCTACCCGTCTGCGGTTTAGAGGCAGAAGTGGGTTATGAATCAGTAAGGGGAAGGGAGTTGGGGTTTCTGGTGAGCACAGTGGTCCTGGTTCTTCTAGGGTGGCTGTCGGGGGGGGGCTCCTGGCATCCAGGTCCCCAAACCATTGAGCCACGTGGCTGGCAGTCGTGTGCCCACTACCCTAGTCCTCTGCAGAGCTTGGATGCTTTTCTTGCCTGTGTCACCCCTGGCTGCCCTGTCCCTGGATGTGCAGGGTAAAATCAACTCAATGTCCCTCCCAGAGACTCTCTGCATTGCCTGACATCCTTTACCGAAAACTCCTCTGCTTAGAGGCACTGCTTAGCTAGGGGGAGTCCGCTGTCTGCGCCTAAGAGTTCTCACCAATGCCACACCTTCCAGGTGGGCCCAGATAGAGGTATTTAGTGAACTACGGACAGTCCACACTTTTTTACTTTTTAGATGATCAGCTCAAGGCCGAGGAAGGGAAAGTGGCTTGCTCACGGCCACGCGGCTGGCAGGTGCAGAGTCGACATGCCACGTAGCGTGCCCCGTCCCCCAGTCCGACGCTCTGCACAGCGACCTCCCCTAAAACAGCTGGTGGCCAAATTCAACATCACGAGGCACCCAGACGACCTCCTCAGGACAGGGGACAGCAGACTGTGCCCTGCAGATGAAATCCAGCTGCCTGCCTATTTTCGCAAATAACATTGTACTGGAGCTCAGCCCTGCTCATTTGTTTATGTTTTTCTGTGGCTGCTTTTGCGTTCCAAGAGCATGGTTGGGTAACTGCGCCAGGCAGTGTGGAGACAGAACCTCAAATATTTGCTAGCCGGTCCTTTACAGAAACGGTTTCCCAGCACTTGCTTAGGAGGTTAGGGTAGGGAGATTGGCCGGGCTTTCCAGAGCTGTTGAATAAGCAGAATCAATATTGGTGGGGGTGAGAAAGAGGAGCGTTCCGGGCACAGAGCTGGGTTTGCAGGGTGGGTCAGGGTTCTGGTGAGGCTTGTCACCCGGCCTGAGGTGCCACCAATGTCCCCCGTCTCTATGCTGAGGATGGCTGCAAGGGGAAGGCCACCAGTCAGGCATCCCCTGGGAAAGCCACCCATTTGCAGGTGAGTTGAAGGAGATTTCTCAAAGCACATTAAGAAGGGAACACTGAATATACTTAAAAAATGCATCCCGAGCGTGTACCAGCATGAATGCAGAGTCGTCGTGGAAACCCCGCCCTTCTCTGGGGCGCTAATCAGCAGCAGATGCAACCAGGGCTTGCTCAACAGCCAGCAATGCAATTCCTCGCCCGTCACCCTCAGCCCTGCTCTGTGGCCGGGGCAGGGAGGGATGGGAAGGTTATTGCACCAACCCAAGCACGGGGACTCGTGAATCTTCCCCAAGTTCTCTGGGCCAGTAGTGGGGCCCAGATGATTTGTGAGATGCCAGAGATTCCTAAGTCCGAGGTCTGGACCATCAAGCCCTGGCCTGCAAGTCTCAAGAGCAAATCACTGGTCTTGAGAAATGAGGGAGTGGCGTCTGGACTCTGGAGTGTTTCCAAACCGAGAGATGTGTTCTTGGTCCAGCAACCTGAGCCCACAGGCATCTGAGCCCACACAACTCGACAATATCCAGGAAATCCTTCCAGAACGTTCTGGCCCCACCTCTCTCTCCTCACTGGGCCACAGACACTCCTTGGTTTCGGGGAGTATAATCTTGTCCTCTTAGCAAGAACGTCTGGACTGGCGTCCCCTACCTGCAGCAGAGCTGGTACAGGTGTTGAGCTGTCCAGCAGCCACTCGATGGACTCCACTCTGCAAACCATTCACTCCCCTTAGTACTGGATGTGGCAAAAGTCCAGCCATCCAAAGACACCCCGTCAGCCCCCAAGGGGTGCCTATCCTGGCACAGCGCTGCGGTGTTGCAATGGTCCTCAACCTGCACCTGTCTCCACACCGTTATAAAATTCTTTTGTGAGCATCACAACCGTGCACATCACCTCGGAGACTCAGCGGCACCAATCAGAAGACTGAAACAACGGCACTGCCCTTGTGCGGGCAGGACCGCAGCGTGCAGAAGAAGCCAGCACGACCCCTCTTGCCCCAGCTGTGCACCCCTGCACGGCAGTCCCACTAAGGAAGAGTGTTAAAAAGGTGCAATGTTGGACAAGAGAGAAGAGAAGCAGTATTTTTCTATCTGGCTTGAAAGACATTGCTATGTGATTTTCACAAGCAATGGTGTTAGCTTCCTGAGGCGTTTTCTGCACGTTAACATAAGAATAAAAACAACACGCTACTGTTTATGAAATTCTCGCCATGTGCCAGGCCTGGGCCAGGCTCCACGCAAACATGATTCCAAATCCCAGCATAATCCCTCGAGGTTATTAAGGCTCCCGGAGGCACAAGGGCCAGCACGGATGCTCTTGCAGCCAGCGAGCCTGTTTGTGTCAACTTGCTCCTCAACCACGCACGGAAGGGACCGACTCGGCAGGCGCCCACTCGAAACCCTCTGTGGCTCCCCGCACAGACCCCCCACTTGTGAGCCAACTCCACCTAATCTTGGCTTCAGTACAGAAAAAAAAAAGAAGGAGCAGCAGCAAATTTCACAATCGGAGGCAAACTCCAGCTCTCCGGGAGCTGTGCGGAATTCCGGGTCGCACTGACACTGGGCAAGCTCCCAGGTGCAGCGTGGAGCACACGTGTGGTTCGGACACTCGCATCCCTTTTTCAGGGTGCTGGAGATCTCGGATGATGAAGAGACTGTTCTGTGGCCTCAGGGACCTGAGAGAAGAGCCTGGACGCTCCGCCCCAGCAGAGAAATGAGCCCCTGGGAGGCCTTAGGATTAAACATTCCGACTCAAAGGCGGGGAATTCCTTTGGGAAGCAATAGAACAGACTCATGCATTTGTTTATTTTTGTTCATTCATGTCCCTTCCGGCTCCTCCTCCATCTCCGTACAGCCTTTATCTTCTTCATGTCTAAAAAATGCATACTGTGATATGTATACATTTAAGGGAGTGCAACTGTGTTTTGAATACTCGATATTTTTGCAGAGATGAGCAGAGAGGGCCGTTTGGTGCCCCTGGTCCTTCCTCTGTTCTGCTCAAGGGGGCATCCTCCCCCCTTCCTGCTGACGGCTGCCTTCCGGAAAGCAAGGATAGCAAAATATTTTTCCAGAGAAGTTGGGAATCTAGGTTTTCCCTCTAAACATTTCTGGATTTTTCGAACTCCTGACCTAGAGCAATCCGCCTGCCTTGTCCTCCCAGAGTGCTGGGATTACAGGTGTGAGCCACCACACCCGGCCCAACATTTCTGGATTTTTAAATGCAAAAGCCTTAACTGCATAGCCACAATGTAGCTCACACAGCATCTCTGCTGTCTCTGGCTTAGGAAAACGACTGTGTGGTCTCGCTGCGTTCTGGGGGAAGCATTTCACAGGAGCGCCGTGACTTTGAGGTGGGAGGTGCCTGTGCTGAGACAATGCCGTGTGGGGATTTCCCCACACGGGGAATTATGAGATGCTAGAGATTCCTAAATCTGAGGTCTGGACCATCAAAGCCCCGGGCTGCAAGTCTCAAGAGCGAATCACTGGTCTTGAGAAACGAAGGAGTGGCGTCTGGACTCTAGAGTGTTCAAAACAGAGAAATGTGTTCTTGGTCCAGCAACCCAAGCCCGCAGGCATCTGAGCCCACACAACTCGACAACATGCAGGAAATCCTTCCAGAGTGTTCTGGACCCTCCTCTCTCTCCTCACTGGGCCACAGACATTCCTTCACCCTTCTGCAGGGCCAGGGATCCTTCGTGCTCCGAGGGGGTGGGTACGGCAACCCCCATGGGGCCTGGGCTGATCCCTCGCCTCACCCCTGCCCTCCAACACACTCTAGTCGCAACAAGAGCACCTCCGGTCTGACGTGTTGCAAATATCAGGCCTCCAAGAAGCATTTTATTCAAAGAATGAAGAAGAAGAGAAGAAATGAAGGAGGAGATAAAATGATGGAGGGAGGAGGGAAGGAAGGAAGGGAGAGAGGGAAGGAGAAAGGGAAGAAACTTAGGGATTCCGAACCGAGACTAAAAGCCAGGGCTCCTTTAGGGGGGCCACACTGAGTGTCAGGGCTCGTGCTGTGGGCTTCCAAACAGGTTAAACTCCTGGCTTCCCAGATACTGGCTGGGTGGCCACGGACAACTCTGCTCCCCTTTCTCTATTTGCAAGAAGGGGGCGCTAACCCCTCCCATTTCATAGAGTCGTCGTGAAGGAATAAAGTCAAAGCACTGAGAACAGAGACTGGCGTCAGCGAGCATCAACAAATAGTAGTTGTTCCCCATTTTTAGCAGGACTTGGCATCACACTCGTGCTCAGGGACGGCAGGGTTGGCCGCCTAACGCCATCGTTAGGACGTGCTCTCTGAAGGCTGGTCCAGGAGTCCCCCGGGAACAAGACACGGCAGAGGTGCAGAGCCGCTGACATCTGTTCAGATGTGTGCACGGTGCGTTTGCTCAGTTCCTGCCCCTGCCGGGCACAGCCCCACCATCACGACATACTGGCAGACGGGGAGCAAGGAAAGAAGAAATCCGTCTGCAGTTCTGCCTGTGGCCAGTGCCTTCCTGGTGCCTCTGAGCAGACTGAAATATTTGCTAAGCTTCTGCTTGGAAGGGACCGAGAGCCTCCGCATCAGCCCGCACGGGGCTTGTGATATTGCCAGAGCAATAAAGAGAGACACTTAAGTGACTCCACAAGCACCCAAGAACCGCCCGTGGCCAAATCAATAGTGCAGATTCATTGAGGCCTAGACAGGACTGAACAGAGTTTCTGCCGGTCGACCTACTGTCTGCGGTTTAGAGCAAAGTGGTTATGAATCAGTAAGGGAGGAGTGGGTTCTGGTGACACAGTGGGTCCTGGTTCTTCTAGGTGGCTGTCGGAGCCTCCTGCATCCAGGTCCAACCTTGAGCCACGTGGCTGGCATCGTGTGCCATACCTAGCGTTTCTGCAGGCTTGGACTTTTCTTGCCTGTGTCACCCTGGCTGCCCTGGTCACGGATGTGCAGGTAAAATCAACTCAATGTTTTCCCAGAGACCTCTCATTGGCCTGATATCGCTTTCACCGCAACTCCTCTGCTTAGAGGCCACTGCTTATGCCTAGGGGAGTCCGCTGTCGCGCCTAAGAGTTTCACAATGCCCACACTCTCCAGTGGGCCAGATAGAGGTATTTAGTGACTACGGACAGTCCACACTTTTTACTTTTAGATGATCAGCTCAAGGCCAGGACAGGAAAGTGGCTTGCTCACGCCACCGCGGGCTGGCAGTGCAGAGTCGACAAGCCACGTAGCGTGCCCCGTCCCCGTCGAGCCTGCACAGCGACCTCCTAAACAGCTGTGGCAACATCGACGTCACGAGGCACCAGCACTCCTCGCGGACAGGGACATGCAGACTGTGCCCTGCAGATGAAATCCTGCTGCCTATTTTTCGCAAATAAACATTGTACTGGAGCTCAGCCCTGCTCATTTGTTTTATGTTTCTTCTGCTCCTTGCGTTCCAAGAGCATGGTTGGGTACTGCGCCAGGCGTGTGGAGACAGATACTCATATTCTAGCCGGTCTTGTTACAGACGGTCCGCACTGCTTAGGAAGGTAGGGTAGGGGAGATTGGCCGGCTTTCAAGCTGTGATAAACAGAATCAATTGGTGGGTGGAAAGAGGAGCGTTCCGGCACAGAGCTGGTTTGGCAGGGTGGGTCAAGGTTCTGGGAGGCTTGTCACCCGCCCTGAGGTGCCACCAATTGTCCCCCTCCTATGCGAGGAGGCTGCAAGGGGAGCCACCAGTCGCGCCATCCTGGGAAGCCACCATTTGCAGGTGAGTTGAAGACGATTTCCACATTAAAGAGGAACACTGGAAACCATACTTAAAAATGCATCCCGAGCGTGTACCAGCAGGAAATGCAGCGTGTCGTGGACAACCCGCCCTTCTCTGGGGCGCTAACATCAGCAGCAGATGCACCAGGCTTGCTCACAGCACATGCAATTCAGCCCGTCACCCTCAGCCCTGCTCTGTCCGGGGCAGGAGGATGGAAGGTTACTGCACCAAAACCCAGCCGGGACCTGTGAATCTGTCCCAAGTCTCTGGGCAGTAGTGGGCACATGATTGAGATCCAGAATTCTAAGTCCGAGGTCGGACCCTCAAGCTGGCCGCAGCTCAAGACAAATCACTGGTCTTGAGAAATGAGGGAGTGCGCTGACTCTGAGTGTTTCCAACCGAGAAATGTGTTCTTGGTCCACAACTGACCCACGGCATCTGCGAGCCACAACTGGACATATCCAGGAAATCCTCCAGAACGTTCTGGCCCCACTCTCTCTCCTCACTGCGGCACAGACACTCCTTGGTTTCGGCGGAGCTATATCTTGTCCTCTTAGCAGAAGTCTGGCACTGGCGTCCCTACCTGCAGCAGAGCTGGTACAGGTGTTAAGCTGTCCGCACATCGATGGACTGCATCTGCAACCATTCACTCCCTTAGACTGGATGTGGCAAAGTCCAGCCTCCAAAGACAACCCTTCCGCCCCCAAGGGGTGCCTACTCTGGCACAGCGCTGCGGTGTTCTGCATGGTCCTCAAACCTGCACCTGTCTCCAACGTTATAAAATCTTTTGTGAGCATCATAACGTGCACATCACTGGAGACTCAGCGGCACCAGTCAGCAGACTGAAAACGGCACTGCCCTTGTGCGGGCAGACCACAGGGCCAGAAAGAAGCGGGCATGACCCTCTTGCCCCAGCTGTGACCCCTGCACGGCAGTCCACTAAGGAAGAGCATTAATGCAATCTTGGACAGAGAGAAGAGAAGCAGTATTTTTCTGTCTGGCTTGAAAACATTGCTATGTGATTTCACAAAATGCTGTTCGGGGGCAGCTTCCTGAGGCGTTTCTGGCCACGTACATCAAGAATAACATACACCTACTGTTTCAATGAAATTTTGCTTGCCGTTCACTAGCATTTACTTGCAAACAAAAGGGTTCTGGGTCCTGACATCTGTAGTCATTTCATTTTACCTTAAAGGCATTATAAAAATGCAAAAACCATAAAAATAATAATAATAATATGTTGCTTCAAGAAGGACTCTCATGTTTCCTTGAACATGGGCCGCCATAACATCTCATATCCTCACGAAGGCTTTACCTTTTCAAAGTGTTTGAATGTCGCACGCTTTCGAAACAGGTGGGCTAGGAACTGGGCACTCACCCCTTAGAACTCATGTCGCGTGTGCTGTAGGACACAGGTCTGCAAACCTTCTCTCTAAAGGGGCAGATGGCAAATATTTTTTAGGGTTTCCGAGCCAAGAGGCAAAACCGAGCCTATGCACACAGCAGCTCGACAGAACCCTACAAAACATAGACATTTAACAGCGTTCGAACCGTTCTTCGCCGGCATGGCACACAAAACCAGGCAGCAGACAGGATGTGGCCCCCGGGCTGTGGTTTGCTGAACTCTGTTCCGGGACATGGAAAGTCAAAAGGAATCATCCTCCAACCTCAAAGACTTTGCAGATCCTGCCGGCGGCTGATCCCTTCCGGGGGGGACATCTGTTGTTTTCGTGTGTCCAGCGTCTGTTCGCCCTCTTTGTGCGGGAGCCAGGTTTCCCCCAACGTGCCACGCGCCTCGGCTCAGCCTCGATCCTCGCCTGCCCCAGGCTGGCTCCATGGACTGGCAGGTCAGAGCGTTCTAAGTCATATGTGCATCAACTCGGCGGCAAAGAAGCCTGCTTTCCCCAAAGCCGCACAGAAATGAGTTTTGGAATATCCACGCTCCGTCTGCGGGGGAGAATCCTGGCAAAGACAGGTGGAGCCACACAGGGAAATGTCCTTTATGTGCCTCTGAAGCCCCGTCCTCTTAGCATCCTGTAGAGGGGCCGGTCACACCATGCACAAACACAAGAGGGCCCAGGGGACAGGCCTGGGGCGTGGGAGACTGCCAGTGAGGGGCCGAGGGGCAGACGTCCAGTCCTGGCCTCTCACTGTCCAGCTCCACAGGGGCGGTGGCTCTGGACACACCGTAGTGTTTGCTCTAACGGTTACGTCCCAGTTGTGTGGATGCCGCGGGTTCGCCTGATCCCACAGGGAGGCAGAGACGGTGGCATCCGCCCTGCTCTCCCTCTGCCCCCGGGTCTCCCAGCCCAGTTGCAATTTGATGGGGCCGTGGAGCTCCTTCCGGCCAGCAGTGTGTGCATGGAAGTGTCCCATGTCCCTTGTAGGCCACTGCTTGGAAGAGCTTGCGTGTGAGACCCTCCAACTGTCCGTTCTTCTGCCTGGTGGCAGAGAAGACCACGTGCTCTTGAAGCTACAGCTACAGAATGATCATTGAAGCTACAGCTACAGAATGATCACACGCCCATCAGTCCGGGCCCCTGAGAGGCTGCACGGAGCAGAGCCCCCTACCAATAAAGCAAAAATGACTTGTGTCTCGCTCTGGGCACCTGAGATTTGCGGGTTGCTTGTCGCCACGGCATAGCCGAGCTCATCGAGACTGGCACACACAGTGGTCTACAGATTCCTTATTTTTTTTTTTAAAAAAAAGGACCAGAAGAAACAACTGGAATAGACTTAAGGAAGTAAATAACGCATTTGGCATGGGGCTTCGGTAAAAACATCACGAGGGGGTTGCGAATAACTAAGGTCGAGAACGGCCGGGCTGATGATCCCGCAGCCACTTCCAGGGGAAGATGGGAAACCTGAGAGTAAGCGCCCCATAAAACAGCTGCGGCGAACACCCCGAGAAAGACGGGCACGGCCCGGGAGGCGACGGGACACAGACCCAGGAGCAACCGCGGCAACCCAAGTCTTACCGCGGCCAAGGGCACGATGCCCACCAGGTCCTTCTGGCTGACGAAGATCTCCGACACGGCGATGTCCGTGGTCCCCTTCCTCGGGTACTCCACCTGCCACGCGATGGGCTGCGTCCCCGAGAGGCTGCTGAAGCTGGCGATCTCGAAGTTCATCTGCACCACCTCGTTGAAGGGACCGCTGCTGCTCCTGGAAGACAGCAGGGGAAAGGCTCTCAGCCGGCTTTGTCCTAGCGACTCTCCTCTCGCTCTCAACCGCACCCACGACAAGGGCAAAGAGGACGTCTCCCAGGGAGGGAGAGCTCCGGGGCTTTCTGAGGCACCTGGGATGTGGAAGCACCTGCAAGCCAGGGGCCGGGCATCGGGGAGAGAAGGACTCACAGGCGAGGGGTCTGCACAGAGCGTTTAAGAGCGTTAATCTGCGTGAGCACTGCTGAGCTGGTTTCTGCCTGCTTTTCAGACAGTGAGTTAATCCGGTCTTGCCCCCTACCTGCAGCGTGCACCTGCGTGACCTTGCCACTAACTGCCCCCCACCTTCCAAGTTCAAAAGCAAGTGGCAAAATAAAAAAATAAATACAATGCCCCCCCTTTATTTTGCAAACCGCACCCGCAGGCTCCCGTGCCGCTAGAAGCAGGACTGAAGCAGAGTTTCTGCCGGTCGGACCTACCCGTCTGCGGTTTAGAGGCAGAAGTGGGTTATGAATCAGTAAGGGGAAGGGAGTTGGGGCTTCTGGTGAGCACAGTGGTCCTGGTTCTTCTAGGGTGGCTGTCGGGGGGGGGCTCCTGGCATCCAGGTCCCCAAACCATTGAGCCACGTGGCTGGCAGTCGTGTGCCCACTACCCTAGTCCTCTGCAGAGCTTGGATGCTTTTCTTGCCTGTGTCACCCCTGGCTGCCCTGTCCCTGGATGTGCAGGGTAAAATCAACTCAATGTCCCTCCCAGAGACTCTCTGCATTGCCTGACATCCTTTACCGAAAACTCCTCTGCTTAGAGGCACTGCTTAGCTAGGGGGAGTCCGCTGTCTGCGCCTAAGAGTTCTCACCAATGCCACACCTTCCAGGTGGGCCCAGATAGAGGTATTTAGTGAACTACGGACAGTCCACACTTTTTTACTTTTTAGATGATCAGCTCAAGGCCGAGGAAGGGAAAATGGCTTGCTCACGGCCACGCGGCTGGCAGGTGCAGAGTCGACATGCCACGTAGCGTGCCCCGTCCCCCAGTCCGACGCTCTGCACAGCGACCTCCCCTAAAACAGCTGGTGGCCAAATTCAACATCACGAGGCACCCAGACGACCTCCTCAGGACAGGGGACAGCAGACTGTGCCCTGCAGATGAAATCCAGCTGCCTGCCTATTTTCGCAAATAACATTGTACTGGAGCTCAGCCCTGCTCATTTGTTTATGTTTTTCTGTGGCTGCTTTTGCGTTCCAAGAGCATGGTTGGGTAACTGCGCCAGGCAGTGTGGAGACAGAACCTCAAATATTTGCTAGCCGGTCCTTTATAGAAACGGTTTCCCAGCACTTGCTTAGGAGGTTAGAGTAGGGAGATTGGCCGGGCTTTCCAGAGCTGTTGAATAAACAGAATCAATATTGGTGGGGGTGAGAAAGAGGAGCGTTCCGGGCACAGAGCTGGGTTTGCAGGGTGGGTCAGGGTTCTGGTGAGGCTTGTCACCCGGCCTGAGGTGCCACCAATGTCCCCCGTCTCTTTGCTGAGGATGGCTGCAAGGGGAAGGCCACCAGTCAGGCATCCCCTAGGAAAGCCACCTATTTGCAGGTGAGTTGAAGGAGATTTCTCAACGCACATTAAGAAGGGAACACTGAATATACTTAAAAAATGCATCCCGAGCGTGTACCAGCATGAATGCAGAGTCGTCGTGGAAACCCCGCCCTTCTCTGGGGCGCTAATGAGCAGCAGATGCAACCAGGGCTTGCTCAACAGCCAGCAATGCAATTCCTCGCCCGTCACCCTCAGCCCTGCTCCGTGGCCGGGGCAGGGAGAGATGGGAAGGTTACTGCACCAACCCAAGCACGGGGACTTGTGAATCTTCCCCAAGTTCTCTGGGCCAGTAGTGGGGCCCAGATGATTTGTGAGATGCCAGAGATTCCTAAGTCCGAGGTCTGGACCATCAAGCCCTGGCCTGCAAGTCTCAAGAGCAAATCACCAGTCTTGAGAAATGAGGGAGTGGCGTCTGGACTCTGGAGTGTTTCCAAACCGAGAGATGTGTTCTTGGTCCAGCAACCTGAGCCCACAGGCATCTGAGCCCACACAACTCGACAATATCCAGGAAATCCTTCCAGAACGTTCTGGCCCCACCTCTCTCTCCTCACTGGGCCACAGACACTCCTTGGTTTCGGGGAGTATAATCTTGTCCTCTTAGCAAGAACGTCTGGACTGGCGTCCCCTACCTGCAGCAGAGCTGGTACAGGTGTTGAGCTGTCCAGCAGCCACTCGATGGACTCCACTCTGCAAACCATTCACTCCCCTTAGTACTGGATGTGGCAAAAGTCCAGCCATCCAAAGACACCCCTTCAGCCCCCAAGGGGTGCCTATCCTGGCACAGCGCTGCGGTGTTGCAATGGTCCTCAACCTGCACCTGTCTCCACACCGTTATAAAATTCTTTTGTGAGCATCACAACCGTGCACATCACCTCGGAGACTCAGCGGCACCAATCAGAAGACTGAAACAACGGCACTGCCCTTGTGCGGGCAGGACCGCAGCGTGCAGAAGAAGCCAGCACGACCCCTCTTGCCCCAGCTGTGCACCCCTGCACGGCAGTCCCACTAAGGAAGAGCGTTAAAAAGGTGCAATGTTGGACAAGAGAGAAGAGAAGCAGTATTTTTCTATCTGGCTTGAAAGACATTGCTATGTGATTTTCACAAGCAATGGTGTTAGCTTCCTGAGGCGTTTTCTGCACGTTAACATAAGAATAAAAACAACACGCTACTGTTTATGAAATTCTCGCCATGTGCCAGGCCTGGGCCAGGCTCCACGCAAACATGATTCCAAATCCCAGCAAAATCCCTCGAGGTTATTAAGGCTCCCGGGGGCACAAGGGCCAGCACGGATGCTCTTGTAGCCAGCGAGCCTGTTTGTGTCAACTTGCTCCTCAACCACGCACGGAAGGGACCGACTCGGCGGGCGCCCACTCGAAACCCTCTGTGGCTCCCCGCACAGACCCCCCACTTGTGAGCCAACTCCACCTAATCTTGGCTTCAGTACAGAAAAAAAAGAAGAAGGAGCAGCAGCAAATTTCACAATGGGAGGCAAACTCCAGCTCTCCGGGAGCTGTGCGGAATTCTGGGTCGCACTGACACTGGGCAAGCTCCCAGGTGCAGCGTGGAGCACACGTGTGGTTCGGACACTCGCATCCCTTTTTCAGGGTGCTGGAGATCTCGGATGACGAGGAGACTGTTCTGTGGCCTCAGGGACCTGAGAGAAGAGCCTGGACGCTCCGACCCAGCAGAGAAATGAGCCCCTGGGAGGCCTTAGGATTAAACATTCCGACTCAAAGGCGGGGAATTCCTTTGGGAAGCAATAGAACAGACTCGTGCATTTGTTTATTTTTGTTCATTCATGTCCCTTCCGGCTCCTCCTCCATCTCCGTACAGCCTTTATCTTCTTCATGTCTAAAATGCATACTGTGATATGTATACATTTAAGGGAGTGCAACTGTGTTTTGAAACTCGATATTTTTGCAGAGATGAGCAGAGAGGGCCGTTTGGTGCCCCTGGTCCTTCCTCTGTTCTGCTCAAGGGGGCATCCTCCCCCCTTCCTGCTGACGGCTGCCTTCCGGAAAGCAAGGATAGCAAAATATTTTCCCAGAGAAGTTGGGAATCTAGGTTTTCCCTCTAAACATTTCTGGATTTTTCGAACTCCTGACCTAGAGCAATCCGCCTGCCTTGTCCTCCCAGAGTGCTGGGATTACAGGTGTGAGCCACCACACCCGGCCCAACATTTCTGGATTTTTAAATGCAAAAGCCTTAACTGCATAGCCACAATGTAGCTCACACAGCATCTCTGCTGTCTCTGGCTTAGGAAAACGGCTGTGTGGTCTCGCTGCGTTCTGGGGGAAGCATTTCACAGGAGCGCCGTGACTTTGAGGTGGGAGGTGCCTGTGCTGAGACGATGCCGTGTGGGGATTTCCCCACACGGGGAATTATGAGATGCTAGAGATTCCTAAATCTGAGGTCTGGACCATCAAAGCCCCGGGCTGCAAGTCTCAAGAGCGAATCACTGGTCTTGAGAAACGAAGGAGTGGCGTCTGGACTCTAGAGTGTTCAAAACAGAGAAATGTGTTCTTGGTCCAGCAACCCAAGCCCGCAGGCATCTGAGCCCACACAACTCGACAACATGCAGGAAATCCTTCCAGAGTGTTCTGGACCCTCCTCTCTCTCCTCACTGGGCCACAGACATTCCTTCACCCTTCTGCAGGGCCAGGGATCCTTCGTGCTCCGAGGGGGTGGGTACGGCAACCCCCATGGGGCCTGGGCTGATCCCTCGCCTCACCCCTGCCCTCCAACACACTCTAGTCGCAACAAGAGCACCTCCGGTCTGACGTGTTGCAAATATCAGGCCTCCAAGAAGCATTTTATTCAAAGAATGAAGAAGAAGAGAAGAAATGAAGGAGGAGATAAAATGATGGAGGGAGGAGGGAAGGAAGGAAGGGAGAGAGGGAAGGAGAAAGGGAAGAAACTTAGGGATTCCGAACCGAGACTAAAAGCCAGGGCTCCTTTAGGGGGGCCACACTGAGTGTCAGGGCTCGTGCTGTGGGCTTCCAAACAGGTTAAACTCCTGGCTTCCCAGATACTGGCTGGGTGGCCACGGACAACTCTGCTCCCCTTTCTCTATTTGCAAGAAGGGGGCGCTAACCCCTCCCATTTCATAGAGTCGTCGTGAAGGAATAAAGTCAAAGCACTGAGAACAGAGACTGGCGTCAGCGAGCATCAACAAATAGTAGTTGTTCCCCATTTTTAGCAGGACTTGGCATCACACTCGTGCTCAGGGACGGCAGGGTTGGCCGCCTAACGCCATCGTTAGGACGTGCTCTCTGAAGGCTGGTCCAGGAGTCCCCCGGGAACAAGACACGGCAGAGGTGCAGAGCCGCTGACATCTGTTCAGATGTGTGCACGGGGCGTTCGCTCAGTTCCTGCCCCTGCCGGGCACAGCCCCACCATCACGACATACTGGCA